CTCAGTTGTCTGGACATGGTCCCATGCCCTGAAGGACTGCCAGTTCCGTGACCAGTCAGGGCACATGCCTAGGTTGCCGGCTCGATCCCAGGTTGGGATGTGTACATGAGGCAGCCATTAGCTGTTTCTCTCTCTCCCTCTCCTTTCCTCTCTCTCTCTCAAATCAATAATAAAACACACACACACACACACACACACACACACACACACCACACATGAAAAAAAATGAATCCTATCTTCTAGAAAACAAAACATGGCCAGGGAAGAAAAGAGCCAGGGACCCCCAGCCAGGTGCCAACACGGCGAAACCACAGCGGACGGCGGACAGCGCGTGGCGCCAGGATGCAGGCTGTGATGGACATCAAAAGGTGTTAATGGTTTCAATATTTATCTGCTGCAGGGAAGCACTCTGAAAAGAAGACAGAGGGGGGAAAAAAGATTCTGCTAATGGCTGTGTCTTTGCCATTAAAATGAAAAGCTTAATGCATCTTATAATCAGAGGACAATTTGCAAATCATTAAGAGAAATGTAAAATTCCATTAAAATACAAATCAAGAGACTCTCCCCGGACTAATAATCTTTTTGATATTATTTTGCATTTCACTATTTCTGTTCCAATACCCAGACCCCTCAAATGATCAGCCTCTGAACAAGCGACTAACCACAGCCTACTTCTTTAACGAGAGGCGGAGAGAGGGATCATCTGCTATTCAGAGCAGGTACTAATGAAGAATTCCATATATTCTGAAATTTAATTAAAACCCCAAAGATTTCAAATTAGATGCAATTTGAAATGCCTGGGGCAGAAATACATGCACTTGCGTGGCGAGGGTACCACACTGAAAGTTGATACCGTAATTGGTCTTGATGTATTTTTGTGTTGCCGGGCTGAAGCACAGAACTCATAACCATATAAAAATTCTCTGTAGATTACCTGCTCATTGAAAATGCCATCACTCAGGTAGTTCTCCACTAAATTACCATGCTGCTCAGATGCACAAAGTGACTGGGAGAGCAGAACAGCACAGCTGGCCGACGCGCCGTGAGTTATGCATGCGTCAATGTGGCCTTTTTTCGGAGTAAAATATGCTCGGCTGAATATTAAAATATAATTGGCATTCAACCTAAGTAGCTTAAACCGTTTTGTTATCTTCTTTTAAACTGATTTGGCTCCTCCGCAGTTATTTTCAAGGATGCGACTCACAAAGTAATGGCGCCGCCGCGCCCAGCTAGATGTGTGCCGCTGTACGTCTGCCATAAACAGGCCCGTCTGCAGCCTGCGAGGTCGCTTTAAAAGGAGCTCCTCTTGAACATCAAAGACCCGTCCCCGGGAAGAAAGCGGGGCAGGCTGCTCCATTTCTGTTGGTTCTTGCATATTTTATTCTAGAAGGAGAGAGGGATGCAAATTCCCTATGAGGAGTGTGTGTCTCGGCCAAGCTCCTTCGCCGGCTGAGAACTGTGCTGGCCGTGGGCACGGGCGCGGGCATGGGCGCAGCCCAGCCGGGCAGGGATGTGCGTCTTCTAAGGAAGCAGACAAGGCGAGCCCACCCAGGCCGGGAGCGGTCCTCCTCTGCACACAGGATGCATTCTGTGTCCCAAGGCCCGGCCGTGCTCGAGAAAACAAAGAGAAAGTAGTTGTCGTAGGAACGGAGAGGCTGGGTAGAGTCATGCTTGCTGAGGGGCAGCGCTCAGCAGAGATACCATTTCCTAAAACACGCTCAGGCCCTGCTCTGGCATTCGGGAGGCAGCACAAAAGCAGATCCACACGTAAGTGGCAGAGGGAAGTGTGGAGGGGTTAAACAGACTCCCTTCCCCCTCCTTCACGCTTCCCTGGGCCGGTCTAGGAGAGTGTTGTTGGCACTGAGACACCGCCCGGTGCCTCAGCTGCACCCACGCCTCAGCCTCCCCCTCCTCCAGGTGAGAGTCCGACCTCTCCTCCCGGCATGTGACACGTGACCTTTAACGGGGCGTGTGCTTGTGAATCTCACATTCTGAGTCCCTTTGAACATAAGGGTAAGAATCGTGTGATATGGCATTTACATTAAGTAATCGTTTTTACGCTTTTGGCTCCTGCAAAGAGTTCCACAGCTTTATTGCCATGAATTTTATAGAAATACCCACACATTTCACATCTAGGTAACTTGGAGTGTAATTCCATGAAATTTTCACTACAATATTTTCTCTATAAACCTAGGTCACAGAGAGAATTCTATTTACTATTGCCAGAATGATAGCAAAACACATGAACAACAGTGCCCGTGAGCGGTGAGTATACGGCACTCCATGACAACAAAAATATCAAACATTTGCTTCGGAAGCAAGCAGTGCAGGTCCGTCTAATGACTACGGTGGGAATAAAAAATTTTAAAAGCATATTTAAGTGAAAAAGTCTGTTTTTACTTTAAAATACAGACCTGATAGAAAATACCTATTTTCCAAAGCCCACTTCCAGTGAAGAATGGTTGAAGTGACAATGCGAATTCCATTTCCTGCCGCGCAGAAACGGCCCCTGCTCCCTGGAGGTAGAATAACCCAGCCCGGGAGGCAGGCGCGGCAGATGACTGTGGTAAACGCATAATGTGAGCAGGCCGGCTTTTATTTTCAACAGGAACCTTCATGGCTTGCTGTGCAATTACTGTGCTGGTGGCATTTCCATACATGAGGGACAGCCAGGCCAGAGGATGCCTCCGGCTGAGGGTGCTGGGGCTGGGGGGCTGCCCTGCCGGGCACCCGGGCTGGGCTTCTGGGTGAAGGGCTCTTGGTGAGGATGGAGGTAAGGCGGCTTCCTTCCTCGCACAGTCCCCAGCTCCCAGGACATACAGCCTCCCCTGGAAGGCCCTGGGCTCTGGGGCCCCCCAGGACACCGGGAGGGTAGCTGAGCCCCCTGACGGGGCCCTCTCCTGAGGTCTCTGGTGGGAATTTGGGGAGAGGCCTTTGGGAAAGGGGTTCTCAGAGCTCCAGGAACCCGAGAATCCTTCCGAGGCTCCATGCTGGAGGCTGTCGCCAGCAGGTTTAAAAACTGCAGGTTTTACTACTGTCATGCCACTGATTTCATAGCTACAGGCTAATAGCTGTGACGAAGGAATTATTAAAGTGTTAAATATTTCAGTTAAAAGGGAACATTGCCGTCACTTTGAAAAGAAAACTCAGACCTCATCTGTTGAAAACCATTGTGTGCAAGATGGCACTGGGAGGGCCGCTGGAGGGCCCAGCATCCCGCGGGGCCGCCGGGAGGGGGTGTCCCCGGCACAGGGCCGGGCCCTCGCTGGGGGGCACCCACCCGGGCTGGCAGGGGGGCAGGAAGGCTGGGGTAGCAGCCTGTCTGCCCGTCTCCCTGGCCCCGGCAGGCTGGCAGCGGGAGGGTCCCGTGGGCAGAGGACTCTGAACAAAAAGAAGCTTCTGCACACGTTCCAAACGGGAAGCCGGCCGCCGGGCTGTGGGCTGCGCTCCTGGACGTCACGGTGAGACCACGCGCTGGGCCAGGCGCGATCCGTGACCCCAGCTGCTCCTGCTTCTGCCTCTGCCGCTAAGGCCACAGCAGATCAGGGGTTCTCGCTTCCTAACGCCGCGGCCCTTTAATCCAGCTCCTCGCGCTGCGGTGACCCCCAGCCATAGCATTATTCTCCTTGCTACTTCATAACTCATTTTGCTGCTGTTAGTGAATTGTAAGGTAAGTATCTGTGCTTTCTGATGGTGTTAGGTGACCCCGCTAGCGGTTCTCAACCTGTGCGTCTCGCCAGTAGAAAACTTGGGAACCACTGGTCTAGGGCCTTGGTCGGCAAAGCCATTAACCCGCCCAGCCGAGTATCAACAGCACAACGATTGACACTGCTTCGGAGAGCCACATTTTTTTATACTTAAACTTCTTCTAACGCCACTTCTTCAACCTAGACACGCCCAGGCCGTGGTATTTTGTGGAAGAGCCACCCTCAAGGGGCCAAAGAGCCACATGTGGCTCATGAGCCACAGTTTGGCAACCACGGGTCTAGACGACCAGGGCTGCCAGGCACCTGTCCTCTGAACTCCCCAGCCTAGCTCATCGTGGGCACGGACGTTCAAGGTCTTCTCTGGTGATTCAGTCAACTCGCGCGCCAGCTCAGCCTGCCGGGGCTTTCGCTACCCGCCTCCCTGTAAACACGGCTCCGTTTCCAAGTTCGCTTTCTCTGAAAATCATAGTAGCAACTAGAACGCCATTACATTTACGTGGTACATTCCATTTTCAGGTTCAAGACTGCTCTAAATGTACCCTACCTGAAACCTCAGGGTGATTCCCTAAGCACATGGGTGCATGCCTCCGCACGTACTCATCTGTATAAATGCTCATTATATCCAAACGACTATAAAAGTCTCCATGCAAAATACACCGGTGTGCGTGTGTGTCTAGAAGGCCTTAGCCGCCGCAGGAAGAACCGAAACGGGAGCTCACAGAGGCAGCCGGGAAAGCGCGGTGGGATTACCTCGGGCTGCTGTGCCTCCGGCGCACCCCGCTGAGGGGAAGCGTTCTCGGCGCCTTAAAAGTGTGACGTCTAAGCCACGGCAAGTTCGAGACGTGAAGGTGAGAACTCACCCAACCAGACTCCGCCGCTACCTGGGCTGATGTGAGTGTCAGCCACGGGGTCCATGGCAGTGGCCGCGTGTCCACCTACGAGCCCTGTTTCCTGTGCTGGAAGACAGTTCAAGTTCACAATGAGCTCAGTGAGAAGTTTACTGCCGCTCAGATGGATTCCTGCTTAAGCCTTTCCGCCCGCGAGAGCCCCGAGTCGGTCGGCATGCATCATGTTCACTGCCCGTGCCAAGAACGACGGAACCACGTGCCAAGACCAACAGAGCCGCCGGGAACCGTGGGGCCCGCCCGCTCTGTCCCACCAGCGGGGCCGCATGTGCCCCGGGGCAGAGGATGGACGCGCATGGAGCTGGTCCGGTCCCTGACACGAGCTGTGACGGAGTGACGGCTAAAGTGGCCGCCCCCGGACGGCAGCGCCGTGGCGGAGGGCACTGACCTTGCAGGAAGACAGGGTGGTGCAGCGCAGGCACAGGCAGCTCCTGGAGGGCCGCGGGCTCCTGGAAGTAGGCGTGCAGCCAGGCCGCGCACTCCGTCAGGGGCTTCACCGTCTCCTCGGGCCGGCCGGGCAGCTCAGGAGGGGCGGGGGCTTCGGGGGGGCTGCAAAAGTGATAGCGGGAAGTTAATAATGCTCTGGCCCTGCTCCACCCCGCTGAGGAGCAAGCAGGAAACACTGCCGCCCCGAAGGGGGTCTAGGCCAGCCACGCCACGAGCACCCACGTCTACACCGGCCGTGCCACAGGCGTGAAGACAGCAGAGGCTGAGACCTGGGAGTTTTCTCACCCACGTGTCCACCTTCCGCTTTAAGAGACATGACATCTTTGAAAACAAGGGGTGGCTCCTAGGAAGGAGGGGGGTCCCAGGACTGGACACTTCTGCATGGGGCTCTGAGCACCCGTGCCGAGCCAGGAGCGAGCTGTGGCAGAGCCATGGCGACAGCACAGAAGCAGCTCGAGGGCCGGGCTGCAAGGCCCTCTCGGACAGACGGGTGTGTGTTTGCCTGTGTCATCTGTCAGGTCGCCAGGGCGCGCTGCCCAAAGCCTTTTCCAGAAACGCTGTGGAAGCAGGGACACTGCTCCCCGCCCGCCCGCCCGCCCGCCCGCCACCAGCAGAACGGCACACTCCGTGTTTCCATCACCGCGTGCTCGTTCGGGGGCACAGAATCAGGGTTCCTCCGTGAGGGAGCGAAGGCTACGGGAGACGGCCATCTTCCTCCGAGAGGTGGGGTTCTGTGCCCACCGGCCTCCTCCTCTGCGTCCAGTCTCACGTCTCTGGACTCAGACTCCCCCGTGACACAGGGCATGTTGGGGGGTACGCTCGGGCACCCCACAGCAATGCCCACCCCGGTGGCCGCGCCCGCTCCTGCTCAGGGAACTGACATGCGAGCTGGGTTTCCTGGCGTTTCCCACCCTAAAAGGACACGGGGAGAATTTTTATAGTGAAATTCATCTGAAATTGATTTTTTATGCTTGTGCTAAAGACCTCAGCCCCGGCTTCACTCCGCGGCTCTCCTTTTTAACTCTTTCTCCATCGGCATTAGATTACTATTCATGGGTGAAATGTAATTAAGCAGCTTTGATTCCGGAGCCAGGATTTATGGCACTACATTTAAAACGAATGACATTAAACACACACATAAAACCGGATTTTTAGAGCCATGACACAAATTTCCATTTCTACAGTAAAATGAAATTTATTCTCCGCCCTGCCCTCTCCTCCAGCCTCGCCCGGCTTGTCCCTGAGCGGCCGTGGCTTGACGGTCCCTGGGAGTTGCTGACGACCGCTCGGATCACAGAGGAGGCCCTTGGGCTGCCCAACCCCACAGCCCTGAAATCCTGACCCCGAGGGCCCCGAGGAGCCCCGAGGCCCACGCTCGCTTAACCTCCATGTCCAAGTCCACGTCTCCCCAGGGAGCCAGGCAGCGCCCCAACCAGGGGCACCACGGCCACCGATGGTCCAGGTGCCAAGGTCCACGACAGGAGACGGTTTAAACTCGAGCTGGGCCCCCACGACCCCTTTCTGGGTGGTTGTAGGTTTGCTGCTCACATTGGAAGTCGGTTTTTGATGTACACCCTAAGACCTTCGTCTTTGGGCCTCAAACTAATGTCAGAACCTCAACAAGCCCACGGAGGAATTTAAGGCGGTATTTTAAAACACCCATCAAAAACACAGGGCCCATTTTAATGTAAATTTCCAATTCCTCCCCATAGAAGGTACCTATGATAAGAACTATATCTCTCTTTTCTTTTTAAAAACAATTGATTCTTAAAAATACACCAGCAATAATAAAGCATTTTTAAAAGACAGTTTAAACAGTATACTTGGCAGACCAGAATGCCTTAAAAAAAAAAAAAAAGCCTATTTACTTTCTCCCTTAAGTGTTCAAATTATGAAAAGAAAAACTGTATTTTAGCAACACTTTAGCATATCATTAAAAATCTCCACTGTTTGACAGATGAAGATAAAAACACCCCAAAACTATAGATGAATTATCAAGTCCCTAATGACTGCAAAACAATTACAGGATGCAGGGCAATCTAGTTAAATTTTATTCAAAAGCTTACCACACTTGTGTTTTCTTTTATTTTTCTATCAAGAAACCCATGAGGCTTAAGCACAATTCATTATGTATGAGACCCCACTTGCGGTGCCTGACTGTTGATTAATAGCAAAGTTTGCTGTATGTACATTTGCAACATTAGATGCATACAATATGCTAACTTATTCTTTCACTGAAACTAATTATTTACAAAAATGACTACTTGAGACTACAATTTATTAAATGCATGCATCCAGCCTCAGCTCGGCCCCCAAAGACAGCCCGGAATGAAGATCTTTTACTCGATATGACAACTTGTAGAAATGCAGTTATTAATATTGTAAATGCGGCAAATAGAGAGTTCAAACAGCCTCATGTCCACGCTGCCGCTGCTCTTCCCCACTGAAGCCGCGAACAAAGCGGCGTTTCAGCGACTCCTCACATGCGTGAGAGGCACGTTCCTCTTTCCTGGCGCGATTTAGCTTCTTATAAATAACATGCTTGGACATATTAGGAATGAGTAGTTAAAAGAAGGAGCAAACATACAACAGGAATAAGAAGTCCTAATCAAATTGCTGCTTAAGTCTATTTATTACAATTCTGTCAATAATTAGCTCACCTCTTGAAAAATAGCTGTAGAAATAAAACTTTTAAGGCATCATCCCATCACTCTCATCAAATTATGTGTATTCCCCCAAAGGGAGCCCCCCGCCCCCCATCCCAGGATCTCTGGGGCTAGGTAACTTGGTATGATTCCATAAATCTCCTTCCCACTTCCAGAAAAGAAAGGACACATTCTCTCAAAATGAGAATCACAGATATTTCATAGCGGGTGGGGATTTCAAATGGAGCATCTGGTCAACCACGACTGTCTCTCAGGCTGACTCTATAATGCACACGGTCCCAAGCGGCAGCCACTTGCTCTGAGCACCCTCCTCCACAGTCTGCCCCTTCCCATGCCCTCGGAGCCCCTGTGTGGCCTTGCTCCGTGCGCTGAGCGGGTGTGCTACTGCAGGCGTGGGGTGGGGGTGAGGGCACAGAGAGGGACAGACCCTTTCCTTCCCATGCCAAGATCAGGAAAATCAATGTCGGTGCCCAAAGGCAGGATGATCGTACAGAAGGTCATTGCATGAGACCAATTTCCCCGTGCCATTCAAATTTTGCAAGGACTCCCAAGGAGAAGAGGACATGGGTTTTAAACAAGGGCCTGATTTTAGGGACCGAGAAGGACTGAAACACCAGAGAGAGGGGCATTGCTTTCTACAATGTACAAGTAGTAAGAGAAAAAATAAGGGGCACCAGAATGGGAAAATCCCAGGGCATGCAGTGATCAAAGATGGCTGGTTTCCTACTTCCCAATTTACCACCCTGACTCTCTGTAACACAGCCAACATCAGCCGCCGTCAAGGCAACGGACCACCAAGGCCCGGTGGAGAGAAAGTCTCGCTGTCACCCCCCCGCGGCACTTTGGAAAGGTGGGATCCAATGAGTGATGCTGAGGATCAACTGCATGGAAACAACTCGACATAAACCTGGTATAAAATTTCATAGCTGCCGTTTATTGAGCACCCGGCCTGTGCCAACCTTATAACTGAAAATGCGCTCTATATTCATTCCTCCCAATAACCCTTGAGGGAGGTGTTATCTCTAAGTTCTAGCAGAGGTCAGAGGTTATGGAATAACTTAACCAATGTACTAGAGGCACAGGATCTGTACAGAAGTCTGAGTCCCAAGGCCTTACTCCCAGCCCATCTCCATGGAGCGGACGACTCTTGCTCATCTTTCTTTAAATGGAAACAAGTGGTCAGCCCTTCTCATGAGAATTACATACGGCCACATGACCTAATCTTTTCTTTTCTCTCTCTTTTTTTTTTTTTATCCTCACTCGAGGATATGTTTCTACTGATTTAAAATAAATAAATAAATAAATAAATAAATAAATAAATAAATAAATGTGTATGTATATTTAATTGATTTTAGAGATGAAGCGAGAGGGAGTGAGAGGTGGAAACATCAATGATGAGAGAGAATCATTAATTGGCTGCTTCCAGCAGGAAGTCAGGTGGATGGGTTCCCGCGAGGGCTGCACTGGTAACTGAATGGAGGGGCCACAAGGTCACCGAGCTGGCCCCGAACCTGAGAGCCAGCCCCGGGTCCTGTGTGGCACGGCAGGGCGCCTGGTGCCTGCAGAGGGAATGAGCAGACGAGAGGCACTGGGATGACAGGGCCCGCAGCTGCACAGTGGAAACACCTGTATTTCAGATTCCATTTTCCCAATGAATGATCTGCTGAAAACCGTTCCCCGGGGGAAGGACGCCCACAAAGGTTTTCTAAGCGGGGAAAGCCACGTTTCCCAGCCTCCCCAGGGTTTGCAGCCGAGGACGCGGCACGGGGTTTCTGAGGTCGGGAAAGGGGCTAGGGCCCTCGGGCAAAGCCGGGAAGGCCTTCCGACGGCAGACCCAGGATTGTTGGCCTTCCTTCCTGCTGTCGATTTCGACTCCTGGTACCTGAGAGGAAAAGAAGAAGAACCCCCAAACCAACAGCACATGTGTGAGCCTGACCCTCCTGCTCTGACCGGGCCACGTCGATGGCATCCAGAGGCTACACACAGATTCGCCCCGGGCCCTCCTCCTTCCTCCGTCGGGCTCCCCTGCCTTCCGAGGGGGCCTGGGAGCTTCACAGAGGAGGGGAGAGGTCGCCCTCAACTGCCACCTGTGGCACATGGAGGGCACCCTGGACTCCTGGGGCACCGGAGACCATGAGAAGGAAGCCCCTCTGTGCCCAGTGAAGCTCTGGGCAGAACATGCCAGATGCCAAGCTCGGGGCAGGGGGGCCTGGGCCCACCTGAGCCAGGAACGCCCACCTCTCCCCCGCCCTTCCCTCTGTCCCGCCGTCTCCCGTGCCTTCTTCATTCCGGAAGGTTGTACCTTCTTTGAGCCCACAGCGTGAGAAGGAGCTTTTGGTACCAGGCGAAAACGTCATGCCCCCTGACGCACTTGACCGCATTGCTCTCTTGCATGGCTTCGGGACGGCTTCGCCAAGATGCGATCCAGAAAAAAAA